ACCAGAAATTTCAAAAATTGAAACCAAAAATTAGTAAGTTAAACGGCTCGAACCAAGTTCCAGGTTCATGATTAGAAAAACCGGTCCAGTTCCCACTAACCGGTCAACTGGAGGCACAGAGGGTGGTGGTATGGTATCGGCGAGCAATGGACGGTTTCTCGGCGAAACTTAAAACATTGTAGAAAGCTGGAGATGCGGGGTATCGATCCCCGTACCTCTCGCATGCTAAGCGAGCGCTCTACCATCTGAGCTACATCCCCGCTATGGTGGAATTTGCTTCACTAAATCGTTATTAAGAATTGACTTGAATATAAAGCCAATAAATTCTACAAAACCTCGTCTCCGAGAAATAGTGGTTTTGGTTTGTTGAAGTACTAACAAAATGCTGGGAAGACTATTGCGGCAAGCTTCAGCTGCTCGTCGATTTGCCGAATCTGCAATTCCTGCACTCAGCAGATGCTCTCTTCGCTCTTATTCTTCCTCGACGGAATCCCAAGTTCCAAACAGTACTTTCGTCGAACACCTGGAGGACCAAGCCGCCACCACCATCTCCATAGATCGGTCTGGGCTGTACAACCCTCCTGGTAATTATATGGATAATTCATTTTCAATGTATATATGAGTACTGGTTGTTAACTTGTTGTTTTCCTTGTAAATGCAGAGCATTCTCATGAGCCTACTTCGGACTCTGAGCTCGTTAAGCACCTCAAAGGCATTATCAAGGTAAGAAGATTGTCTTTTTTCTTACCCTTTTATCACCTCACTGCTTGGTTGTGGCTGCTTTGTGTTTATATTTGCTGTTCTGTTGATGCAGTATAGGTTTTGGGGGGGAAATGAATGTATGTGGCTATTGTTATTTTCGGAGTTAAGTGAAAAAAAGGTAGTATTTTGGTGATAGGTTGATATTGGGCTGCTGGCATATATGTTTCTCTCTTTCTCAAATTTGGGTTTTAATAGGTGAAATTGCTACTGTTAATTTTGATATAACAATGTCATTTTTATGGACAAAATTTTGGTCATAGATGAAGGAGATAAGTGATGCCAATTATTTGCCCTTTCGGCAGTATAACATGCTTTTGTTGCCAAAATCAAGAAGAGATGAAAATGAGACGTTTTTTTGTTTTTCCTGCTTGTTCTCAATAACTCTATGGATTAGCTCTGTAGCTCTCTTGTGTACATTTGCTAATATCTCCTTTTAAATCATTCAAGCATACTTTTTGTTTCTGGTTTTTCAGTTCCGTGGTGGACCAATCTCAGTTGCAGAGTATATGGAAGAAGTTTTGACAAACCCAAAGGCTGGATACTACATTAACCGAGATGTCTTTGGAGCTGAAGGTGATTTTATTACATCTCCTGAAGTAAGCCAGATGTTTGGAGAGGTAACTTAGTTTCACTCAAACTCTTGCAATTTTTAGTACATGGGAATATTCAAGGAGACAATTAGTTTAGTTTGCCCTGCTCATGATTTCAGATGATTGGTGTTTGGGCTATGTGTCTGTGGGAGCAAATGGGACAACCAAGCAGAGTTAACCTGGTTGAGCTGGGCCCTGGACGAGGAACTCTCATGGCTGATCTTCTTCGTGTATGATATTTAGATTGTTTTGTCTAATTCCCTGCTTTATGTGTGCAAGATGCTACCTCCTAAGCTTTCACCTCCTGTTTAGGCTGAATTTAATTTATAGGTTCTTGTTAACTTTCAGGGTGCATCAAAATTTAAGAAATTCACAGACTCCTTGCACTTACACATGGTAGAATGTAGTCCAACACTGCAGAATCTTCAGCATTGCAACTTGAAATGCACTGAAGGAGATAATAATGGTGAAAATATTGAGAAAAGAACTATAAGCACAATAGCTGGAACTCCTGTGTCATGGCATGCTACACTGGAACAGGTTCCATCAGGATGTATGGTATTACTTTCTGAAATACTTTTCCCTGAAAACAAGCAGTTAAGCATTGTCATTTAAGTATATTCATCTAGAGGTTATAAAAAATAATTAGGATTTGCCTATATAATATATATACCATATTTTTTCTATTAAGAGTTAAATGTAATGATTTGGTCTGTTCACACCTTTATGTTCTTTTGTGTTTGCTTTTGTTATAGTGCCAACAATCATCATTGCCCATGAGTTTTTTGATGCTCTGCCAATTCATCAATTTCAGGTTTGTTTGGTTATCTTACACTGTTGGCTTAAAAAGTGACAATTGCTTCTAACCTTTGACATTTGCAGAAAAAAAAAAAAAGGTTTAATATTTGTAACTAGAAGATTTAGCTGAGTTGTACAAGTTTCCAATTTGCTTCCCTGTGAAAGGTGGTTGTCTATGGGGAGTCTGTGTTTTCTCTCATCATTTGTGATTTCATATTCATTACTCTAATTTAATAATTTCTCTGCAGAGGGCTTCTCATGGCTGGTCTGAAAAAATGATTGATGTTGCAGAAGATTCATTGTAAGAATTTGGAATTTTGTCTGACATCATCTAGTACCTCCATAGGTGTTAATTAACAGGTTTAGAAATTTGATGCTTTTCAATATTCGTTAGGTTTCGTTTTGTTCTATCTCCACGGCCTACACCTGCGACTCTCTATCTAATGAAGCGCTGCAAGTGGGCTGTGCCTGAAGAAATAGAGAAACTTGACCAAATTGAAGTTTGCCCCAAAGCTATGGACTTAACTCACACAATTGCCCAGAGAATAAGTTTGGATGGAGGTGGAGCTCTAATTATTGATTATGGCTTGAATGGTGTGGTCTCAGATAGTCTGCAGGTCTGTTGCACCAAAAGCATACATAAGGCTTGGAAAATTTTAACATGTTTCTCGCCACTTGCCAATCGCCAATTAAAAATTTACTTCCCCTCTACTCCATTATTTTTTTCATAACCAAGATTAACTTTTTTGCAGGCAATTCGAAAACATAAGTTTGTTAACTTGCTAGATAGTCCTGGAACTGCTGATCTTAGTGCTTATGTTGATTTTGCTTCCATTAGGCACTCTGTGGAGGAAGCTTCAGGTATGCTCCTCCCTTTTCTGTATTAGTATCAGTACTCTCTTGATCAATTTTGGAAGTAGAGTTTTTTCTTCTTTTTTTTTTGGGTTGGGTGGGGGGGTGGGTTACTGAATCATGGTATTCAAGATAGACATGGGAAGTCTAAAAGATTTATCAGTTGTGTCTGATCTAGAGTCCTAGACACGGGTCAAAGAAAGCATTTGATCACTGTTCAGATGCAGCTAGTGCTATATGCTTGCGTTTAGAGTCCAACAATAGGAGTAGGTTGAGCTGAAGATGAACTCGATGCTCGTTGTATTAGTTATATCTCATGTTAAATGTTTAGATTGTAGTTAATGCTAAAGGAGAAATTGAAACCATTTTCACGATATTCCAACATTTTTCCAGATGATGTCTCTGTCCATGGCCCAATTACCCAGTCCCAATTTCTTGGGTCTCTGGGAATAAATTTTCGAGTTGAGGCTCTGCTGCAGAACTGCACGGATGAACAAGCTGAATCTCTAAGAACAGGTTACTGGCGTCTAGTGGGTGAAGGTGAAGCCCCTTTCTGGGAGGGACCAGATGAAGAGGCACCTATCGGGATGGGCACCCGGTATTTGGCAATGGCTATTGTGAACAAGAAGCAAGGCGTTCCAGTTCCTTTCCAATAAAATATCATAGTCCTTTTGTAAGATCAATTTTGAGCATATGTACGTTAGTATTCCCTCACCTTGCCATGAAATAAAGCAAACTTTGCCAAATGTGATTCATTATAAAACAATGTTACAGGTATAATGCAGTTCAAGAATTTCTATATTCTTCTATAAGTAATTTTCACTAACAAGTCATGACAAGGTACCGTCTTGCCTGTGGAATACAAGGTGGCTGGTGACCGGATTGATTCCAAAGCAACAGTTAAATAAAACTTTAAAAAAGTTAAAAAATCATGGGACTTAAGTGTAAATTGATAAGTAAATCCAGGGTCATAGATAGAACAGTTTCAAGTTAGACCGAAATAGAAATAACGGTAACTTTGGGACTAAACACAAAATTTACCCTCGATAGACTCATTTTTTTTGGCAAAAACTCCCACTTTGCCCTTCAACTTTTTGAGTATGAGGCACTTTGCCCCTCAATTTACAACTTATGATTTTTTACTCTCCAAATTTTCAAGTTTATGAAAATAAAGCAAAATTTAATGTCAAGCCTCACATGCATCGTATGCGTGTATTGTTGTTAAGTTTTTCCTAGTTAGTGTCATCGTTGTAAAGAATAGCCATGTGTCAAATGTGATGTGGCATGTGATCCCATTTCAAACTCAAAATTATTTAAACAAATTAATAAATGAATTTTAATTGACAGATGGCACATAGTAATTGGTTATATCAAGTTAATATTATTTAAGATTAATTGACTATTTAAGAAATAAACTAAATAAGTTAAACTACACATTTATCCTCTCATCATCATCCCTTTCGTTCAATCTCTTCCTTCCCAAGATCTCCATCTTCGACAAACTCAAACCTATATTCTTGTTTCTCCAAACACACTTCTGCCCTTACTATCGTCCATTGGAATTACTATCAATTGAAATTACTATCGTCCACTCATTTTCTTCATTTGTTCTCTACCCTTTTTCCCTATTCATCTTCTTCCCATCTTTGGTTCCTTTCTTCCTTCCTTTTCTAGTGCATATCTTCCTTGCCTCCTTCATCCTCTTCTTCTTCTTCCTCCTACAGACATCAACTTCGCATCTCCGATAAGGATTCAAGTGCATCTTTCTCCTCCCTCTCCCTCTCTTCCCCCTTTTTCCTTTCTCTCTCTTCCCGCTTCTTCCTCTCCCTACGAATAGAGGTTTTGGGTTTCAATGGAACCCATATCCATCAAACCCAAATTTCTACGTTCCATGAAACCCAGATCTGGATTATAGAATCCAACAATTTGCTTCAAGAAACCCATATTCTAGGATTTCCCAAACTTAGATTTATAGATTTTTTTTTTTTTTTAGCAACAATTGGTGATCTATAGATGTATTTTCTTGATGGAATTTTTTTTTCAAATATTATGGTTGTGGAATGGAAATTTAATGTTATGAATTGTGCAAAATTTTGTTTATATGCATGATTGAAATACGCTATGAAATTGTGAGTTTGAATGGGAAAAACAACAAAAGCGTGTTCGAAGAAACAAGAATATGGACTTGAGTTTGCCAAAGATGGAGATCCTAGGAAGGAAGAGATTGAACATAAGGGATGATGATGAGAGGATAAATGTGTAATTTAACTTGTTTAGTTTATTTCTTAAATATTCAATTAATCTTAAATAATGTTAATTTTATTTGACCAATTACTATATACCATGTGTTATTTAAAATTCATTTATTAATTTGTTTAAATATTTTTGAGTTTGAAATGGGATCATATGTCACATAACACTTGACACATGGCTACTCTTTATAGTGGTGAGTCTGGTGACACTAACTAGGGAAGACTTAACCGCAATATAACATGCACTAGATGCATGTGAGGCTTGGTGTTAAATTTTGCATTATTTTCATAAACTTGAAAATTTGGAGGGTAAAAAATCGTAAGTTGTAAATTGAGGGGTAAAGTGCTTCATACTCAAAAAGTTGAAGGGCAAAGTGGTGGGGGGAGGGGGGAGGGGGTTTTGCCCACGTTTGACGGCTGTGTTGAGAAATCTTTTGCCACAGAAGACATCGAAGCTACGGTTGTTGGCTGTAATCTCTTGTCCATTTGGGTTCTCATTGGAGAGAGGAGAAGGGGAAGAAGAAAATGGGTTCTTTCATTTCGAGCTTGTTCGGAGGCGCAGAGGAAGGATCGGTGTCGTCGGAGCCGTCTCACATCCTGACATTTCATTCATCCGCTAGATGGCAGCTCCACTTCAATTCCGCCAAAGAATCCCCAAAACTGGTACAATCTATTCATGCCCTTTTGTTCTTCCGGGAATCAGGGTTAGTTTGACCATCTGGATCAGCAGATCCCTGAAATTCTTGTCTAGGTTTTGAAATTCTCTAGATGAAATTGAATGCAGATGGTGATTGATTTCGCTGCCTCATGGTGTGGCCCTTGCAAGTTTATGGAACCGGCGGTGCATGCCATGGCTAACAAATTCACTGAAGTCGAGTTCATAAAGATTGATGTTGATGAGTTACCTGTATGTATTTTGTCCTTATTTGTAATCTGCAAATTATGTAAATGGAAATTGGGTGGTTCTTTAGCTAATGATTTTCTTCTCCTTGTTTATCGAGTATAGGATGTGGCACAGGAGTTTGGGGTGCAGGCAATGCCGACATTTCTGCTGGTGAAGAAAGGGAAGGAGGTGGACCGGGTGGTTGGTGCACAGAAAGATGAGCTTGAGAGGAAGATTGAGAAACACAAGGCACTGCAAGCTGCTGCCTGACAAACTTTCAGTTAATATTCTTGCTTTAGTCTGTTTGTTGGAGAATAAAGATGAACAATGTTTGATCTTTGATTTGTAAAAACTTTCAATGATTATAAGCAGTTTGGTTCTCATGGTTCCACAGTTTGTATTTTTTGGTATATTAAAAGGTTAACTGCTTTGCAAATATAGAGATTTGAATCTCTAATTTTAACTCAAAATCAAGGCTTTCAAGTCAATGAATATCAACTTAGTTAACGGCTTTTATAGTTTTGAGTTAGTATTATTGCTCTAAAAACTTAGAGGACAAGTTTGCCATGACTTTTGATGATTATTAACAATGTTTGATGTTCTGTTCTTGAAAATGATTACTGATAATTCGAGAATGAGCAAGGGAACAGAGACTAAACATCATATACTGAAGTCATTGCAAAATTTGATTCTTTAAGAAAGATAATGGATTTATACAAGGCTGAACACTGTTGGAACATAGTTGATAACTGGAAGCCTTATTAGTTTGATGATATAAGTATACACACCAATTAGGGGCCAAACGTTTATCAGAAAGTGTAGGCTTGCTGAATTGTGTCTATGTCAAGACCCTTGAGCCGAACCACTGATTCAACATGTCCTTTGAGTGTATGCAGTTCTCTTAGCCTGCAAGAGAAAAATGTAAAGAATGAATATTAGCGCATGCACATCGTCGTTCTCCATAAGCAAATCTTACCCTACTTTGAAAGGGCTAAATGGCAGTCTGGTGCTTGTTTATACCTTAACAAAGTTTTGAATGCAAATTAAACCTAGTAATCCATTTGGTAGCATGAAGAGGAGGTGATTAGCTTTGTCATTGATTATAGCATACCTTGCAATTTCAGCACGTCTCTTTGCCTCCTCAGCCATTTGATTAAGTTCTGTGAAACTGCTGCGGTCACCAAACATCTTGGTTTCAGGAGGGTGCAGTCCATGGAGCGTTCTCTGTGCATGCGCCCACTTAAGCTCACGTTCTTCCTTCCCAAAATCCTTCTTCCTTGTGAATGCAATCTGAAGAAAAGAAAAAACAAATGGAAAAATGAATCATAAAAGATTCAGAAAGTTGCTTTGCCTAAAAAAGTTAACTATACCAGTTGAGTTCATACCCGTTGCTCAATGACGAGATCCCAAGCTTTTCCACTCAGGGCATATCGGATGAAGAACTTGATAACATCAAGTGGAAAATAGAATATAAGGTTATAAAGCCAGACAACACCAGCCCAACCCCATCCAATCCCTTCTATAGCAGCAAAGCTCCACTTTGCATAGACAGATATCAGCGTAGCAATCTGCCCATGAAAGAAAGTTTGCATCAATAATTTTGTTGAAAAAACTTGCAAACGAAAAGATCAACAATTCACTAACCAGCTGAGCAATAACAAATGCAGTTACAAGCAAAAGGCCAGGGCGCTCAACAAAAGACCAACTCCGTGATCTTGTTACAAATATGAGGGCTTGACTGATGGTGCTAACTTGGAGGTAAATTATTGATGCAAGCCTTCTAACATCGTGACCATCGTTTTGTTGAAGGCTTGAAACCCCAAAAGTGCGCTGAAATTTACAGTTTCAGAATAAGTAATTGGATACAGCATCCGGAAATAATTTATTGATGAAAATCAGAGAGCTGATGAGGTTGAAAACCAAAATCTATATGCTTGTAGTTATCTCAGAAATGAAGGGAATGCAAAAAATAATTTTGATGAAAACCAAAAATAAGGGTAGAAAAGAACAAATTAGGCAATATTCAGGGCAGGGAGAGGGAAAAAATTGACAAGGTCTTAAGAGAATATTTGTGACTGCCACTACCATGTTCAACATTAATTTGATGATATTTTTATACGCTGAAATAGATTGTCTTACGGGAAAGAAATCTGTCTTGTATGCCGCCCAAAAGAAAATAACGGTCATCATTGCCAAGTAACCACCAAGGACAATTCCAGTTGTGAAGATTTCTGCCAACTTCCAGCTGTCTGGCTGGGGGGAGGGTTTGACCCTATCCTTTGATATTGTCATGATGGTACCTGAACACACCAATGATCATATGAGAAATTCTGAAGTTCAAAGTAATAAGAGAACGTGCTTGAAGTTCTGAAGAAATGTAATACATACCATCATTAAGGATAGCAATAATCAGTACCATGAAGGGAGGAAAGTCAAATTGCCATATCAAGGCCAGCAACATGAAACCGAGCTGCCCAGAGGCAGGACAAAGTCAGTTCATTAAGTTATATCCATGAGACCAATGGATAATGGATAGATAGATTGCTTGCCCAGGATAATAGGAAGGACACTGAACATGATAGATGAATGCAATATCAAGGCTAAGACCAAAGAACTTACCACAATACGAATTGTGATGGAGACTGCATATATCTGTAAGAAGGAAGAGATCAAGTAACTTGTAAAAGAGTTCACAAAGGTTTGGTTAAAGATGAAATTGGCTGGGACAAGAACACCCAAAGATTATACAGTGACATAGACTAACCGTATAATTCTTCATTCTCTGGAATATTGCCCGGCTAGTTAGTACTGCACTAATAATAACACTTAGACCAGGTTCAGTAAGAACAATGTCAGAAGCACTGCGAGCTGCATCAGTTGCATCAGCAACTGCTATACCAATGTCAGCCTTCTTTAGTGCAGGAGCATCATTGACCCCATCGCCAGTCATTCCACATATGTGTTTCCTAGCCTGCAAGCGCTTCACAATCTCATACTTGTGTTCTGTACAGACAATAGAAGGAAGCCAGTCAAATCAGTAAGAGCAAGAGGAAAGCTACGAAAGCATACTCTAAATTAGGACCAAAGTGAATGGTACATAAGCAGTCTGTCAAACATTAAAGCAAGATATTTTTAACACATCATAATTTTCAAAAGAAAAAAAAATAAAAAGATAAAAAATACCTGGAAAAACACCAGCAAAACCATCGGCTTTCTCAATCAGCTCATCAACAGGCAAAGCAGCAATAGACTCATCTTTATTCTGTCCTAACAAGGATGATGAAGGATACATATTGGATCCCATTCCCAGGCGTCGTCCCGTTTCCTTTGCTATTGCTAATTGATCACCTGGTTGTTTTGCAGAGGCAAAGTGAATCGAGTATCCATGAAAAATAAGGAGAGACATTTAATTCATTTTACAAATTTCATCCAATTGAAAGGAATTGAAATATATATATATATATATATATAGATATGTATATATATATATAAGTTTATGCACCTGTAATCATTTTCACATTTACTCCAAGATTCAATGCCCTACGTATTGTTTCAGCACTATCATGTCTAGGTGGATCAAACAGAGGCAAGAGACCAATAAATTGCCATGGACCTCCTGCACTCTCCTTCCTTCCATCAGGAACTTCCTGCACGTAGATTTATAAATATAACCAACAGCAATATAATTATAATTCAAAAAATCATAGAGCTAGAATAACTTCAAAATAGGACAGAGAATAATAATGCAGGTAATAACATGAGCAACTATACCTGGTATGCTACAGCAAGAGATCGCAATCCTCGCTCAGCAAACTTATCAATCACAGCATGAACTCTACGTTCTATCTCTGATTTATTGTGTACAAGATTCAAAATCTAATAACAGAAGAGCAACCATGAATTACTTCAAATGACATTGAAAAATAATCAAAATACAAAAGAAATATAATTCTTAGTATTATACCTGTTCTGGAGCACCTTTGCTGACCCGATGCATTTTCCCTTCACTGTCAATATATGTCAGAGCTGTCCGCTTATCAGTAGGATTAAATGGAAGGAAATGAACTTCTTGAATACCAGCCCGGGCCTAGTCAGTCATCAAAAGTGAAACAAAATTAAAGTCACTAAAATTCTTATTTTAAGAAGTTCATCCAATTCTCCTCACTGCCATCTCTCAAGTACAAAGAATAATTAGTAGTAAAATCAAAATTTTCTATGTTAGCCAACATAAAACAAGGACTAAATTATTAATCAGTATACCTCCTTTGGATCAGCCAGCATCCCTACCATAGCAGCATCTATTGCATCCTGGTTCTCCAGCCGGGAGGCTTGAGCTGCCATCAGAACAACAGTATCTGCATTTACTCCTTTTGCAAAGATCTGAGCAATAAAAAGCCGCACAGATACAGTAGCGTAAATCACAATTCAGAATGTCAGAAGCAGAACTGCAAAACGCAGGAACCATGAACAGACCTCAATAAGATTCTTGTCAACTGAGAGCTTATTCAAAGTCAGAGTTCCAGTTTTATCACTGCAAAGTACATCCATGCCCGCCATTTCTTCAATAGCTGTCATTCTTTTCGTAATAGCCCCCTTCAATAGTTAATAAAGGAAATGCATGTACATCAGTATCAACTGAACAGTGATTCTTTTAGGTAAGATCACTACACCAAACCTGCAAGGATAAGCGATGGGACCCGATTGCCATTGTCACTGATAGAACTGTGGGCATGGCGATTGGAATTCCACCAATAAGAAGCACAAGCAGGTTGTCAATTCCTGGACGATATCGTCGGTGTTGAATTGGATACATGACAATAATCTCAGTTATCATTCCCACAGCAATGGAACAAATACAGAAATTCCCAATTGCTGTCAGAACCTGTTCAGCAAATGCATGAATAAAATCAGAACCTGTTCATCAAATGCATGAATAAAATAACATAAAAGAGGCATGGGAATCAAATTGATTAAAGAAAAAGGATAATACATATCACCATGTGCAAGTTTCTTAGGTTTGCTCATGAGAGCAATAGTTCTCAATCATAAATGTCTAGAAAATGGTCAAAGAATATTCAATAAAGTTTTTTAAAATAGATACCAACATTAAGCTGGAAACAATATTGCAGTGGAAAAACAAAAAAAATTAAAAAAGATGTCCTTTAGCAAGCCATGGTCTGTAATGAAGAAATAAGCATCTACAGCTCTTTACCTTTTGAAAGTGTCCCTGTTGATTTGTGGTATCCACGAGGTGAGCAGCCTTTCCAAAGAAGGTATGAACACCAGTGGCAATCACCACTGCTTCAATCTCTCCCTGTTTGCATGTAGAACCAGAATAAACTCCATCACCAGGGCCTTTTGTTACGGGAAGAGACTCGCCTGTCAATGCAGACTACAATGCCCCCGAAACAAAATGTTAGGAAATAAACCTTAATAAATTCAATGTACAAGTAAAGAACAGATTTAGTTTGCAAACCGACCTGATCAATTTTCAAAGGATCACCATCAAGGAGACGAGCATCTGCAGGAATAATGTCCCCAAGTTTGACACTAATTATGTCACCAGGAACAAGAATAGCAGCATCCTCCTCAGTCCACTTCCCATCCCGAAGGACCTGTATTAATTCATTTAATATATCAAAAAACAAAATCACAAGGATAATGATGCATGCAGACTTCCTCACTACATACTCCGTTACGCCCTTCAATTTCCGTTATTTTGCCGTTAATTACACTTAACTCCGTTATCGTCTCTTCAGCCATCCGTCAACTCACCCAACCCTTTCTGTCTTCGTCAGATCCATCTTCCTCCTCGCCTCCATCCTTATCCTAATCATCTACAAGACAATTGCCAGCCTCTCCTCCCAAGTTCCCACCTTCTTCCTTTTTTCCTTTTTTTTTTTTTTTTCTTTTTTTTGTTTTCTGAAGAACCCGACCTGGGTTTTTGGAGAACCCAGATCTGGTTCTCCTGCAGAACCCACGTCTGAGTTCTCAGAGAAAACCCGGGAGAAAAAAAAAAAAAAAAGAAGGTGAGAACACGGTGAGAATGAAATGGAGACTAACGGACTATGAGAGCTAACGGAAAAAAAAGTGTGTAACGGGAGTGTGGTACGAATCAGTATGCCAATCATGGTACAAATTACAAACATAAAAACCTGAGCAGTGACTTCACCATCATTTTATTACTAAGTCAAACATGCAACTGACTGCAAAATCCAATTTGTACAATCTATGAAATATGAATAACTTGCTGTGGCAAAAGAATCATAGTTAATACAAGCCAATATGAGAGGATCCAAAGTCACTACACAGTTTCTACAGATAATTATGGAGGCTTTCTTGTCCATTACCTTAGCTTTAGGAGCAAGACGAGCCATGAGAGCTGCAGCAGCATTACCAGCGTTGTTCTCCTCTATGAAACTGATGGTTGAATTGATAAAAAGCAGGGTAATAATTCCAACAAAATCTTGCCAGTCAGGAGGTTTCCCCTGTTAAAATATGAGGAAGTAATGAGTTCCACATCCATCTCTCTCAAGAAAAACGAAAAATGAGAATAAATAAATAAAACAGTGTAGTTGAATTTAAAGGAACCACCAAACTACTGACCCTCATACAAATAAGTTGGCTGGAACCAAATAAACATAAAGAATAAAATTCAAAGTTCCATTCTACTTTTCTAAATTCAAATGGAAAAAAACAATTTGAGAAACCACTCACTCCTCCATTGGCTAGGGCAATCGCCATGATAGCAGCAGCTTCCATAACCCATGAAAGAGGGTTCCACATAAACCCCAAGAACTTCAAAATCTTATTCTCCTGCCAAACCAAACCCAATATCCAAACAGATTAGATTTAATTGTAAACAAAACCCCAAAACACAAAAACATAAATAATTAGGAAATGATACATAAAATTCCAAAGAAAATGACAAGTTCCCTTGCTTGCTTCATCTCGAACCGCAAAACTTCAGTACAAAAGAAGCTTCTACAGAACCTCAAATTCATCTCCTTTTTTCCTTTCTAGAAAACACAAAAGGGAATTAATTTATTGATGAAAGTAGCTACCTTTTTCTCCTCAAGCTTGTTGTAGCCAAAAATGGCAAGCCTCTCTTGAGCAGCTTCTGTGGTGAGCCCATCTCTGCTACACCTCAAAGTCTGAAAAACCTCTTCAAGAGGCACATTTTCCTACACCCAAAAACCCAAATTCACAACATATCAAACACAAAGCACAAACCCAGAAAGAAAAACCATCTAAAACCCAGCACCCATCAACAAAAATTAGAAAACAGAACCGAAAAAACAAACAAAAAAAAAAAAAACAGTTTTTTTGCTCTTTTTCCATGTACCAAATCCACAACTTCCTTCACCACAGCCTCCAAAGACTCGTTATCCATCCCCAGCTACCACGCCCTCCTCAAGCTCTACAAAATCATGCAGAAAACCACATCAGAACATGAAAACACAAAATAAAAGGATTTCTCTGTCCTTCTTCTTCACCTCTATGGATGCTCTGTTCCTCACCCTCCCAGGGTAGGTAGAAGGTTACCTTTCTCTCTCTAGAATCTAAAAATGGCAGCTTTTTAAGGAAGACACGAAGAAGAAGACTGTGGCTATGGCTAGGGGTAGAGAAACAAACAGCGCATAGTCAGGTATTGTACTTGGCCGGTACACGCTGCTTCTTTTCTATTCCTCTCATTATTTCTTCACATTACCCAATAGAAAGGCAATTCCTACCATCTATTTACCCACCCCATACAGGACATTCTACCTCGTAGGACCTAACATTCCAACACCCCCATCATGTCAGCATCTGGCGTGGCATGGAATTTTTCTACATGCGCACTACTTCTTTTTGACAATTTTGACCCTACCAAACTACCCTTTTTTCAAAAAAATAAATAAAATAAATAAAATCTTCTCCTCTTATTTAAAAATTAAAAGGTGTTTTGTAATCTTATCACAGAACATGGAAATGTATTTTTATCTTGATTATTTTTAATTTTGATTTTTGTATTTTACATACAGTATAAATACTACTCCTATGTATTAACGTCTTAAAAAAAAGATTAAATTATGCTTAAAATTCAGAAATTAAAGCATAACATGGAATTAAAATCTGGGACTTCAACTAATGAACTAAATAACTTCATGATAATTTTTTTTCGCTGGAAGTAAGAAATCTTAAGTTTGAGTTATATAACATACGAGTAAGACAAGATAAGGATAAGAAAGAATTGTCTTTCGTTCGTTATACACTAACATAAAAAAAAAAAAAAAAAAATCTGGGACTTCAAAATTTTAAGGACGCTGCCAAGACTGCACTAGCACATCCTTTCCAAGTTTTAATTTGGAGCATTTGTTTGCTATCACACAAATTATCAACTTGACTAGTATACATTGCACAACCAATAATGCAAGACCATTTTTGTGACCTAAAGATAGTTTTGCTCTCTCATTATAAGAGTTTTTTTTTTTTTTAATTAATAAGACAAGTGACCTAAAGATAATTTTATTGGAGTTTTCCTAATAGCAACTAAAACTTTCTCCTTTGAGGAGGAATTTGTTGGGTTTACTAAATTAATGTTTGTATTACAAATTCAGCATCATGTCACATTTTTTAATCAATATTTATTTTACAATTAAAATTTTTTTAATCACTTGAAAAGTGTTTCAAGTAATTAAAAATTAAAAATTTTAAATTAGAGATTTTGAGTTCAAATTATGAAACAAGTGTTAAGAGATAAAAGAATGAGAGGATCATCTCTTATTATTATATAACATATCATATAATGTATAAAAAATAAAAAATATTTAATTAAAGTTAATAGTATATGAGGAGAATTTGATCCTTATATATTATAGAAAAGATTTAGATAAGAATACAATTTTATTATTTTTTATTTAAATTATGAATTTTGTCATATTTCGATTAAGTTTGTTGTTTGTTACATTATTATTATTATTATAAAATAAATTTTTAAATAAAAAATATATAATATATATCTTTATTAAAAAAAGTAAAATTTATCACTTAATTAAAAATACAAAATATTTATATTTTTTAATAAAAAAAATTATATGATTATCTGTATTTTTTCTATCATAGATCATTGGCATCAAATTAATTATTGAGGTTATCTCTTCAAACTTGATAGAAATTATGGTTCTATTGATTGTAGTTGACAGCTTAAAATAATGGCCTTCTAGACTACTAACAAATTTTAAAAGTGGGAGAAGGATGGTAGTAGCAAAGTAGGAGGAGTAGATAAGAGTCCCATTGGAATTGGATTCAATCCTTGACGCAAAAAAAACAGTAGTCACCGTACACTCAGTAATGGGGTTAGGTTTTGTCAGTTTCCCCTTCTATCTTCTTGACCTTCACGTCTCCTGAATTTAATTTCGTTATCAATGCTGAGGCCACCACCCCAGGTCCACAGGAAACGTTCATTACAGTGGGGCTGCAAAACCACATCGTTCGGTCCCCAAAATTGCCTGTGGCATTTATTAATTTGTCTCAACTCTTGAATTGTAGGCACGTACGTATGTGGGTAAAAAGATCAGCAACTTCGTTTATGACTACTGGTCTAAACGTCAAATTAATACAACTTCTTTTGTTTGACTGCCGTATTACTTATGCTACTTTAATATTAATTGAGTAATGGTAAATGGGATTGAGTCATATGTGGAAATTTGAGGTACATAAGTTAATTTATTTAAAATATAAAAATATAAATTTTACTTTATTTAATAATTAATTTTTTATTTTTTTAAATATATAATATTATATAGGTTAAATGTCAATTTTAATCCTCAAGTTTAAAATTTTACATAATTTTTATTTCTTAACTTTTTTATATACTTTTTTTATCATTTAACTATGAAAAATGTTTTTTTTTTAATTTTTTTATTAGTTAATATGTTGAATTTGTCTAAATATACACATTTTTAGTCTCAGATGAAAAATGTGATTTAACAAACTAACTAATGAAAAAACTAAAAAAGTACATTTTTTATAGTTAAGGGATCAAAAAAACATAAAAAAATTAAGGGATAAAAATTTTACAAAACTTTAAAGTTGAAAAACCAAAATTGACATTTGACATAATATATATATATATCAATTAATTTAATAACATAATTTATATTATATCATGAGTTTTGATTTTTGATTTTAATTTTTTGTTTTTTATATCACTATTTATATTAATTTAATAATACAAAATTTATTTAAATTATAAAACATTAATTATTAAATTAAAAAATCATGTGATAATAAGA